ACGCGGTGTGAAGTCCTTCCCGGAAAATGTAAAGAAGGAAAAACTCTCATTTTGCATAATTTCTTGTCAAGTTGTATATATATCTGTATATATATATATATATATATGTATCTGAAACCAAGAAGGAAAAGCCAGATCTTTGACCCTGAATCCCCAAAGAGATGGAGTGGCAATGATAGGCAGGCAAGGAGGTGTTCCTTCAAGAGGAAGTCATTAGAAAAGGGAACTTAAAGGGGTTTATTCTAAGAACTAACTTTAAAATCTTTTAAAAAAATATAAAAACCACCTCCTTGCAACTTTCTTTTCTGCTCGATTCTTCTTGCTTCTTCACAAACTGGAAACTTTTGGGTGCAACTTTAAGCAAACTCCGAAATCTCTCCACGAAAAATCGAAGTCAACTTCAATGGAAAATGTGAGGCCTTTGGGGGGACAGGGGGGCGGGACTTGTGGGCAAAAAGTGAAAGCGAAGCAATTGACAAAATGTTCCAATGAAAACGACACTTTAGCATGCCCAGAATCCACAAAAAAAAATAACAACAACAACAACAACTGGGGCTGGGGTAAGCAGGCTAATGCCATAGATAAAGCCAAAAGCCAGATCAGGCCTAAAAAAAGCAAAAAAAAGAAAAAGTCAAAGGAAAAACAGGAAAAGCACTGCACATGCAGTGAATGTGGCTTATCGGCCAATGAGGAATGAATGAAGTGGGGAGTTACAAAGGCGGGGAGGCAAGGCAGCAGAAGGGGGATGGATGCGGCAGAGTTGCTAACTAAGAGATAGCGCACATCGGGTATGCCATTATCTATGCCTATTCCAGGGAAATCTCAAAGAGAAGCATCTGGGAGATGGAAAAAAAAGAAAGTTTTGAAAATTTCAATTAATAATTAAGTAAATTTCTTATTTTAAATGATTATTTAGTTACTTACTTAACAGTTAGTTAGTATATTTAGTTACCTTCCCATCACTGATCATCATCATCATCATCATCAGCGTGACTATCTTTTATTCAGCGCAACTCCCTTCGGATGCTTTCATTTTACTTTCTTGCCCAGACACACACACTCGGTGAAAAATGCGGAAAATGAAGGGAAATCATGTTGAAGGATGTAAAGATGCAACTTAGGGGAAACTAGCTCTTCACCATTTTCCTTTTCCGCAAAAAAAAACAGCAGCAGAAAACTCTCATATTCTATGTTCTCTACACACCCACACACACCCTTTAACAATTTCTCTCCTTTCACTTTGCCTGCTGTCCCGGCCTTTTATTTCACTCGCACTTGTTGACAATGCAGCACGCAATGCGGGTGAAAACTGGATGCCCAGGGGCGGGTTTTCCAAGGGGGTGTGGGTGCAAAACAAGGGGCTGCAATGCAAGTCAATGCACCCAGTACCCAGTCGAACAATCAACGAAAGCGAGTGACATAAGGGCAGGAAAAGGGTCCAAAAGCGTCGGTTTTCCGATGCCTGGCAACGCAGCTCGAGGGGGGGATAATGGTGAGTCCCTGGCCAAAAGGGGGCCTGGCTTTATCCCCTTTAATTGGTCATCTTATTAATGGAATATCAATTTAATATCAGGCAAGAGATGGAAAAACGTATTCAGTTTCAAAGGGAAATGTATGAAAGGGTTCTGAATGGAGAGTTTTTGTAGAGGAAAAGAAGTTTGTTTTTTGCGGGAATTTTTGGTAAATGGAAAAGTCTATATAGTCAGGGAAAAATCTATAAAATAGTCATCAATTTAAATCAGCGAAAATATTAATTAATTTAGTTAAAAATTTTCAAATTCTGATTCATTTTAAAACCCAAAAAATATCTAAAAAAAATTCCCTTAACAACATCAAAAAGATGCATTTCTGAGAAATAAAATAGGAAGCTCTGCCCAGAATCCCAGTGGAAGTTTAAGACGAGATGTCTGTGGGGCATCTCTTAACCCCCCCTCCTTTGAATGCCGCACAGCTGCAAGCCGCGAAGTTGCACAAACGGATGGCGAAACAATTTCGAAATATGTTTTCTAATTACTTGTTCGCACTCGGGCATCAACATGCCATAAATGGTAAGGGGGAATCCGTGGCAGCAGCGAGAGGATTCTGGATGGTTGGTGGGGCAGCAGGAGGAAGTGGTGCATCGAAAAAAGGGGCAGCAGGAGGAGTCTGAGTGAATTGGCGACACATAAATTGCAAATATGATAGAAGAACATGCAACACTTTTTCCAGGGGGCAGTCAGCCAGCCAGCCAGCTAGCCTGCTGGGGTTGATGTTGCTGTTGCCTTTGCCTTTACCATTGCCATTGCCGATGCAGTTGCAGTTGCAGTTGTTGCATGCTGCCTCAGCATATAATTATTGCAATGCGTTTCTGTTCGGTTTGCTGTTGTTGCCCGGCCCCTTGTGGCAGAAAACACGCGCCACGCAGCCACTCGAAGGACGCCAAAGGGGAGGTGTACACTGGCAGAAAGAACTTCCAATAATCTAGAAAGATTTTCTATAAAAAGTACCTACACTATTCTTCACTCTTCTTAACATGAAAGAAAGAATTTAGCTAGGAAAAATCAACGAAAAAAGTCAACAATTTTCTCGCAGTGCTGGCCTTCGTTTACCCCATTAAAGCTGCTGCTGCGGCGGCACAGCTGCGGCAACTCCTTTCTTTTCGGTTGACGCGTATGCGTGTGTTTCTAATTAAGTGCTCCATCGGGGTCACCACCCAATCAATCAGCGAAAGTCACTTGAGCGGTGGCAAAATATTGGCAAAGGAAGTCGAGACTTCCTTGACGCATCTGCGGAAGACGCAACTTGATGGCTTTTGTTCGCTTTTCCTCGCTCGCATCACTGCCACTCCGTTTGGTTCACTTTCCTTGGGGAAAGTATGGAAGGAAAATGTGCTCGAGGGACGAAGGGAAATTATGAAGAAACAAGGGTAAAGTAAACAAGGAAAGAGGGAATAGACTTAACAGATACCTCTTAAGGGGATTTTCAAAAATAAAAATGGAAAAAGGAAATCGCAAAAAAGGAAAGTTTTAGGAAACTTCATAGTTAGTGTTATGGTTTATGGATATTGTGGACAGTTTTCGACTTAGCCCAATATCCCCCCCACTTACTAGGTACCTGTTAAAATTGCGAAACAGTTGAGAAAACAGGAAAAGACAAAACAAAAGCAAGCAAACTAACGAGAGAGTGTACAGCGCATAAAAAATAACAGCCACGCATGAATCCTTGTAAGTGGGTTGAAGCGTCGGCAAACACAAAGTTTACCCGGGTAGCCAGAAGCTTTAAGGCTCCCTTCTAGGATATATAGTATATATATATATATATATATATTATATGATGAGGAATCTCAGAGGGAGGGCTGGGGGAGCTCAAGAGGTTCCAGGGGTTCCATCCTTGCCCTGCGCTTCGAGTGCTTTACTCCCTGACAAACTCCCACTTTTATGCTCTCTACTCTACCACCAACCCCCTACCGATACCCCTGCCACACCCCCTTCCACACATTGTTGTTGTATCTGACTGTTGACAATGGCATGCGTTAGGGTTTGGTTTTTTTTTTGATGTTTTCCCGCCTCCCCCGCTGTTAAGTTGGTAACCCTTAATCCCCCTAATACCCAGCCTTACCCTTTCGAAGACCTCAAGTGCACGCAGAGCTTTAAGACTCAAGAAGAAGAGCCAGAAGAAATTAATAAATATACAAAAGAAAGAGAGAGCTATAGAGAGCTGATAGAAAGAGATAGCCTCAGGTTGCCCCTCGCTGGGCTCAATTCAATTTGTTGAGTAGCTAAATTTAGACGCTAATTTGGGGACCTGCTGTGCCAACGAGATCGTGTCCAGTTCTCAGACTTGTCTCAGGTTACAGCGCAAAAGGAGAAGAAAGAATGAGATAGGTAGAGAGAGAGAGAGATAGAGATAGAGAGCAAGAACAAGAACCAGAACCGGGATGGACCTCTACTCAAATTACCAATTGAATTTCTGTCTGCTACCACGAAGAATCCTTGGCCCGGTGGATAACCACTCATAACTTGGTGGCATTATCATCGTCAACTTTATTATGTCCCCTCCCCTGAGGGAGTTCTCTTTCGCCTTCTCCTTCTCCTTCATCTTGGCATTCCCCTTGGAGTTCTGTCCTTTATCTTGATCATAATCTTGCCCAACAACTGACATTATCATTTGTCAGGAGGAGGAGGAGGAGGAGAAGGCTGCCTGGTTTCGTAGTAAAATAGCTGAAATTATTGGCAGTGGCAAAGGGAAACAGCCTGAGCATTCCTCGAACTTGATCAGTGGAAATTAATCTACAAAAAAAGGGGTTAGTTAGTTAGTTAATTTTAGAGTTTTTTTTCAGCAATTTGCAGCTCCTCTAAGAACACATTTTAAGAACTAAAAATATATCCCCTTTTGTTTCTGAAATCTTCACTCCATGATCGATTTGATTTCATAAACAAAAAGCCAGGCTTTGAGCTCTTAGCCCATTTATTTGTGGGATACTCACCTGTGACAGCTGCGGATCCATCATCCCAGTCCCGACTCCACCTGACTCATTTGTGGCCACTGGCCAGGCTCATTTCTCGTTTAGCCTGGCTTTTCAATTACTCAGCCCGGCTAGGCCTTTGAAGAGAGTCGTCCGTAAAATAATAACAAAAAAAGAACAAAAAAACTCAGCTACCCTTTGGCCATCCTAAGTGGAGACTTTGCTGAATTAGCGGCAATTAATCACAGCGACATGTGAATTGTGGCAGGGAATGGGGAATGGCTTTCCTCGACTCCAACTCGCACAGGCATCTTGAAGGGCGAATGCCAAATATGCCACAAATATGGTCAAAGTTCCAGGAAATTATTTCTTTCACTTCTTTCTTCTTGCCACTACCACCAGCAGCAGCTGCTGCAATTTGTTTTTCCATTTAACTGGCAATTAATTTGCCACCTTAAGTTGTTGTTTTTACCAAGCTTAAAAGATTTAAGTAAAAAACTTAACTTAATGAGAATGATTTTCCTAATTATTTTCCCATTTTTTCCTTCCCTTTCAGATTATAGCTTTTTGGGGCATCAGCCACACCATGTGCCATGGAGAGCCTGGGCCTGGGCAGCAGACGCAACAATGGCAGCAACTCGACGGCCGCCCCAGCAACGGGCCAGGGCGGCGTGGTCGGCGGCGGGGGCGTGGCCGGCAAGGTTTTGGTCCATACAAAGTCCATAAAGCAGCAACAGCAGCAGCAGCATTCGAATCAGAATTACTACACGCAGCAGCAAACGCAATTGCAGCGACTCAAGCACCAGCAACAGAAGTTGCAACAACAGCAACAGCAGCAGCAGCAACAGCAATTGGAGGCGGTGCACGGAGGCGTGGCTAAGCATTGCCTGCAATTTCCACCACCACCGGACTATCCACCACCCACCGGTGGTAGTTCCCCGGGCAATACCCCAGGCAGGCGGCAGCTATTGCCGAGATATCCCGATCCAGATCCGGATGCCATCGAAATTTGCAATGAGTCGTCGGCTCTGGAGACATCGCCACATCATCTCAAGCAGCTGGCGGCGCGGCATAGCAAGAGCCTGGGCAGGAACCTAGGCCACCAGCAGCAGCAGCAGCAGCAGCAGCATCATCACACAGGTAAGGCTAAGGCTGAGCAGTAAGCTTGCAACAATCTGTGGAAACTTCCAGAGAATAAGAGTGTTCCTTAATTTCAGTTCACCTGCATCATGACTACTCGTATGCCTACTACGAGCCCGGTGCTGCCATGAGGCACTCCAATGTGCCGGGGGCCGGCTGCTCTGCCGGAGGAGCAGTCGCTGGAGTAGGAGCTGGAGCTTCATCGGTGATGGCCAGCACCTCGTCAGCCTCATCTTCAACCGCCGAGCCACCGCCGAACTCCATAAGAGCCCTGCTCTCCAAGGGCAAGAAGAACAAGCAGCTCGTAAGCCCCGCCACCTTGCAATCCTACCAGACGCGCTACCACAAGCTGACGACCAAGGTGGGTCTGGGCCAGAGCGAGAACTTCTACGAGGAGATCAATGCAGCTGCCCTGCAGACCAACAGTGGTAATCATCTGCGCAGTACAGTGGGCTCTCATTCAGCGGGTTCCTTGAATCAAACGCTGGTCGAGGAGGAACTGCGTCGCGTCCAGAACAGGCATCACAAGATATTGGGTGAACTGAATCTCAGTGTGGAGGCCATGCTGATGCCAGAGAGTCCGCCCAAGTCCATGGATCAGTCACAAGGTGGCAGCGGGGGCTCTGGAGGATCGTGTGGCTCCGGTGGATCCGAAATCTCGCCACCCCAGCCAAGTGTTAGTGTAACGGCAGCCAGTGGCCAGCCGCCGACGATCTTGGCCCGACTGACCTCCGCCTCGGCGGACAACATCTGTGATAGCGGTGGCGTTGGCGTCGGCGTTGGCGGGAGTGAGACGGGGAAAAGGACCAAAGGAGCTCCTGGTGTGGAGCAGCTACTGACCACCAATTGCGGCGACTTGGACAGCGGCTTTAGCGGCAGCAGCGGCGCCAGTTACATTGGCAGTCTTCGGCTAAGCAAGACGCAGCACATCAAGTGCGCCCGCCAAACGCCCACAGTGGGCACTCAAAGTTGTCGTTCGTTCCAGCGAGCGGCCACTGTATACGATGAGGCTGGGATGTCCAGTGGTGGTGGCCAAAGCGGCAGTGGCAGTAGCTTCCTCACTCGAGCCTCCTGTGGCCGCCGGATTCTCAGCTGCGCCAGGATACGAGCAGCCGAGGATCCCGGACCCAATCATCGGATGGGTGGGAGTGGTAATGGCATTCAAACGGTTCAAAGTACCGCCACAGAGTCGAAGGCGCGCAGCTTCTGGAGTCGCAAGGGATGGCGAAAACTGCCCGGGTTCTCCACCTCAACATCGAGTATCAATGATACGGGCTTATCAGGTGAGTTTCCAAGAAAGCTTTTTTTATTTCCCGATGTTTGTTAGGACAAAATCCTTGACCTTAACTTACGATATTAGTCCTATAAAGTAAAAGGAACGAGATAAACTTTCCCTAGAAGCTTGATCTAAAGTTATTGCTAAAGTTAATATCCCAGTATTTAAACTTGGTACTAAGATTCTGTGGTCTAAAAGACCAGAAGAGTTTAGAAAGACTTGTTTTTAGGAAAGAAACTGAAGAGATAAATTAATATTAAAACCAAAAATCTAATATTGACTGCTGTTAACTTTACAATCCTTATACTATCTTCATAAATCACTTACTTAGATATTTGTCAGGTAACGAGCTTCGGTATAAGTCCAGAAAACTGTAATATTTCCCTTTAAAGTGAGTTTTTAGTACCAACAAGTTTTAGAACTGCTAAAGAACTCTAAAGAGGGCTCTAAAGTCAATCGGAATGAGCGCCCCTGTTGGCCGTATTTCTAGTTCCGCCGTTAGATGCCGCGCACTTTGCAAGAAACTCTGTAGATGGAGGAACTGTTTTGCCTTCTTATGTTTTTCCAATAGATGGTTTTAAAAAGTATAACAAGGCTGGTTATTAAGAGTGTGCTAAATTACTAGTGTTCTAAAGGCAAAGTCCTTTAAGTCAGAGCGTTTGTTTTAATACATCTCAGTTAACTTCCCAATGAGTTTTTTGGTAAATGTTAATAGACATCAATTCCAGTTAAAAACGAAGACTAGAAAGAAATAGCAAATTATTATTATTATTATTACAGTTTTTCCATGAACTAAAATCCCTTTGCAAAATATCCCTACATGAAAACGAAAGCGCACCAAGTGCTAATAAACTGTACTACTCACGTTAGATGTCTCGCCAGTTCCTGGTAAACTCTATAGGTGGCGGCACTGCCTCCTCAGAAAATCGCTAGCTGGCGGGCATCAGCTTGCTTACTCTGCTGATAGATGGCGACACTGTGCACTCTGCAGAGCAAACACATTTTCCACTTTTTTCCTGCACTTCTTCTCATCATTTAGCTTATCGCTCCCCTGGACGGCAAGTAACGCCCCCTTTATTTTGCCTTTTCCATCTATATAGTTTTCTATATATTTTTATCAGCGGCTTTGCATGCAGAGCGAGCATCATCGGGCGGGCGAACGGCGAACGGAGAGCGAACCCCATTCAATTCGGTCCCAGCGATTCGATCCATGAGTCCGCTTTTGCGGTCCCGCTTTTTGTGTTATTTTTTTCTGCTCTTTTTTTTTTTTTTTTTTTTTTTTGCTCCACTGGCTTCAGTCTACAAAAGTCTACAGTTTACAGTCTCGTTTTGTTTGATTTCGATTTTTGTTGGATTTTTTGTTGGATTTTTTCCATCGGTTTTTTCGGCTTTTTTGCCCACACTTCGGTCGGTTGTGCTGCGCTTCGGGCTCCACGTTCCATTCACGTTCGCCCTGGCGATGGATTCATGGATGCGGTTTCAGTAGAATCGATCTTGTCGTGGATGCCGCATGCTTTTTTTTTCGTGTGTGTGCCAAACCAAAAAAGAAAAACGCGGGCTTTGCCTCAAATTCTATTAACTCTTTGGGTTAAATTTTAAAGAAGTTAAAAAAAAAGGACTCGAGTAATGTTTGTTGTTTTTGAAAAATACCAACTGAGTGATGTTCTTGTGAAATTGGCCTGGAATTAAGTGCGGAATTATCATGGCCTTTCAGCTGATTAAGTCCGCTTTGGATAGTCCAACGCAGCAGCAGCAACAGCTGCTGAGGCGACACAGCAACTTGGGTCTGCCCCATCAACATGCGGCAGGAGTTGTGCTACTAAAATGTGGGTAAACTGAAAAACAATAATAAACAAAATGTAAATAAACATAAACAAACATAATTAACACAGAAAGACTAGGCTAGGAAGGCTGTTGTTAAAGTGGCTGACTAGCTAAGAAGTGCATTTAGCGAGGTTTTAAAGTTAGTTAATGAAAATTCTATAAAAAGACAAAAGCAACTAACAAGTTAATGACTTAAATTCAGTACTTAAACTAGAAACAAAAAACACTTGTTTTCAGTTAACAAAAAGTCTAAAATTAAGTAAAATTAAGTATTTGGTAACAAATCCCTTTTGATGGCTCTTTCAGCCAACTATTCGAAACAGTTTTCTGCCAGCTGTTGGCCAGATGAATCATAAACACACCCCCCCCTTAGATTTTTACGCTATTTTAGTGCGTAATTTGTTGTTGGCCAGCGTGACTCACTAATAGTACGATTTGTAGTTGTTCTTGACAAAAAAGAACAAAGCTACTGCCAAAAATAAATTCTATTTTTGGGAGATTAAATTTAAGAAAAAAATGAAAAAGTGAAAAAGTGAAAAAAGGGCAAAGCTGATAAGGCAAGTGAATCATTTGATTTAATTAAATAATAAGACAAGATCAAAGTTCGTGTTTTATTTATTTGGAAAAATAAATCAATAGATTAAGAGCGGGGAAAAATGTGTCAGGAATAGAAATCAGTTTTTTGGTGGGGTGGGGAAACAAATTTTGAGTTTATTTTACAACTCAATTAAAGCTATGAAAATGTAAAGGAAATTATCATTTTCCCCTTCAATTTCCACATGAATATCACAAAGGCTTTGTAAACACTTGCCTTAATTTACCGCTACATAAATTTCCCTAAGAAAATATTCTGGCAAAAAGGAAAACAACATCTGCAGCAGCCATAAAGTAAGCAAAAATATTTTAAAGGCAATTTCTAAAGAAGTTAAAGTAAAATAAGAGCCACAAAAAGTAATAAATCATTTAGTTTTTAATTTGTTAATATGATTTTTAAGTTATTTACAAAGTTAAAGATTTAATTTATATTTCTTTTAGATTTTTTAAGGATTTTTAACTTCAAAGAACTTTACTTTTATATAAGAAAAGCCTATTTTTTCACCATTATTTCCCGCACAGCTGCATTTCTACACTTTTGGGGCAATGCAGGTCAGTGCCCAGTCGCATATACCCCTCAAATATATATAATATATATATAATATTATATAGCTACCCGCAGAGCAACAGACTAACTTGAAATTAACGGCGGGTTGAAGGGTGTTCACTCGGCAATTAATAAACATATTTCAAAGATATTTGCACAGATGCAAAGGCAGAGGCAGAGGCAAAGGCAGTGGCAGTAACAGTGGCAGGGGCAGGGGCAGTGGCAATAAATATATAGTGCTCCCTCCTTCAAACTTATTCCTAGATTCCATTCAATTATTCATCATAAAAAAGTATCTATATGAAGACGAATAAAAAACGGAGAGAATTATTATTGCACTTTTGTTGTCGCTTATTTCCCCGTTTATTGTCCGCGATTGTTGTTGACTTTTGTTTGTTGATGTTGCTTGTTGTTGTTGCTGTTGCTTGTTGTTGTTGTTGTATCTGCAACTATTATGGCTGGCATCTGTGGCATTAGCAGCGCGTGTTTGAGTGCCGCTTTAACTAAGCACTCGTTAATCAATGTCGCCAGAGAGTCTCATTTTTGCCTCTTTCATATTTTCCATATCCCAGCCATCGCCATTTCTTTCGGCTATCGTTGCCGATATTTTACAGTGGATATCAAATGGGGTGCTCGCAATGGAATTATGTGGCATTTGGTGGTTGTCAAGTTAGTCGACATTTTGTGGGGTTAAGTACTCTGCGGCAAGCCAAATTGGGCAATAAGTGATATGTGTCAAAGGGGGCTTATGGCAGGGCTTAATGTTCTCATTAGTTGGGAATATTATCAGCATTATTACGTTCTTTTGGTTAATCAACTACAAATATTAGTATTTACATGAAATTATTATCATTTAATCTTAAATCACTTTTAAAAAAAGTGGAAAAAAAGAGTTTAAACAGCCACCATTTCCACTGTACTTTGTCTTGAAATCTAGAGGATGAGCCATCGGCTGTTTTCTGAGCCACTTAGCTGTCCTCCCACCCACAGCCCACCATTCACCTGCCCCCCTTGGCAGACCCAACAAAGCGAGTTGAGAGTTTGTCATGTACGACACGAAATTCGTGTAGCCTTTGGTGGATTTTTAGTGAAAGTGTTTAGTCTAAGCCTGCATCTAAGCACACAAAAAAGAGACAAAAACTGAACCGCCGAAAAAAAAGTGTGCTCATTATTTCATTTTGAAAACAGTATTTACTTGGCATACTTTTTGCCCAACGGCATCGAACACACCTCGGATGGCAGTTGCAGGGTGTACCATGCGGCGTATGCGCAACGTTAATTAAAATTCAAACTAGAGTCGACTTTTTTTTTTTTTTTTTTTTCTTTTCTGTAAGCGGTTGTTAGCCAAAAATTTGCATAATAACAACCGCAACAAGAAAACAATGTAACCGACAATCGGCAATCTCAACTTATCTGAAATTATAACAAACAACGCAGACAATGCTCATACGTACTGTTGTACGGAATGGGGGGCAGTTGGTGGCGTGGAAAACAAAAACGGAAAACAAATAAACAGAAAGAAAAGCGAAACAGAAAAAGTGCCATCTGTTAAGTTACATGATTTGAGATTGGGAAGAGTAATGGAAAAACAAATTTCCGATTGATTGGGTTACGACGTGTGAGCTGCTAAAGTTGAAAGAAAATAATAATAGTTAGTGGAATTAAAAGTTCTTATATGCCTTTTCTCTAAGTGCATTGCCAAACTTTGCCTGCTTTTGTGGGTTCTGCTTGAAAATTTCGTTTGTTTTGCGGTTTCCTGTGAATATTTGACTTTTTTTTACACAATCTCTGGGCAAAGTAAGTTTTATGATTAACAAACAAAGTTTAAATTAAACTTTAATTTAGTATTTTAACTAATTGGAAACTTAAAAATCGTGTTAATAATCTTAAACTTACTAACCTTTAGAATGATGTTTATTTTTCCATCATCTGCGATTGTTAGTTTTTCTTAGCCATTCCCCATTTAGATTTTAAGTCCAGATTTAATTATCTGCCACCATAAATTTCGCCAGCGATTCTTTGCTGCTGTGGCAAGGAAAGTG